TTCCCTGTCCCCCAAGTCCCCAGCACTGTTCCCATCCCCCAATTCCCCAATAAAAATCTTTTAAAAAATAGTTGAATTCCTGGCACCAAACCACAGGGATTGAAATGGGAACCCGTCTGGGGGGAGCAGTGGAGAGAGACAACAGTGGGGCCAGGTGAGCGGGAACGGCCTCACACAGGGTCCCAGGAGGTCTGTGCGCCCCCAACTTCACACCCAGCCGTCCAGCTCCAGGCCTTCCCCCCCCCCGCAGGCTGAGCTCACCTATTACAGGCATCGTGTTTCTCTGCCAGCAAACGAGCGACCTTCACCCTGACGCCTGCAGGAAAACACCTCGCTCCTCCAAGAGCAGGGCCTTTTTATCGTAGGCAAGAAAATATAAGATTTCTCATTTTAAAGGATTATGGGCCATTGATGCCCGCTTTCCATGTGTTAGGGGCATATAAAATTTCTGAGCAATGAAAGTGAATAACTTGAGGTCTGCATACAGTAAAGGAATTTTGCCTTTTATTATAAAGCAGTTTGGCTTGCGGTGACAAGAAGATGTTACCATTTTAGAGGGCCGCGTTTTTCTCCTTTGGTGAAGGACAATGAAAGGGCTGATCGGGCCTCTGGGAGATTGTTTAATGACCAATGTTTGAGGCTTTGGAGTGACTCTCCCAGGAAGAACTTGCATGGGTTTAGACGTCCCCGGGAATAAACCCTGAGGCTGTGTCCCCAGGTTGTAAGTGAGTTGATTTGTGCACACGCAGGCACATGCAGACCTCACAGTCATCCCCACACACGCATACAGATACACACTCACAGACACGCACACATGTGCACACAGACACACAGACATGGACACACACACCCTGCCCTCTGCACCTGGCCATACCATGCCGGGTCTCCCGGCAGACGTGTTTCGTCTGCTGTGATGTGGCGTCTGCTCGGGGCCTGTTACTAGGAGCCACAGTTAAAACCTGAACCTTCTAAGACCCCCTGCTGTTCCCTCTTTGATTTTTTTTTTTGTGTGTGTGTGTGTGTGTGTGTGTGTGTGTGTGTGTGTGTGTGAGACGGCCTCTTTAAGGAAAGGCCCCCATGGGTTGGAACACCTAGATCCTGACGAGCTACGTGACTTCTTCCCCTGCAATAGGGGGAGGGAGGCTGAGGGCAGTAGGAACTGGGCCGAGCCGGAAGCACGGGGGGTAAGGCCAGAGAAAACACCCTGGGAGCAGCCTGTCACGGGGGGCTCTGCTGGACGTTTTAAAGCTAAAAACCCCTAAACCTTCCTCCCGCGCTCGGGCGCCCCAGCCACGTGTCCTGACCGGTGTTTTAAGGCGTGTGTCTGCACTCAGCGTTGTATCGCTTTGAGGAGGCGTCCACCGACGTCGGGGCTGTGGGTGCCCCGACTGCTCCTCATGTGGCAATCCAGAGTGAGAGGCTGGAATGGAGGTGTGACCATTGTGGCAAAGAAACGGTCCTTCTTCATTGAAGGTCTGCGGGGAACCCCACGGCTTGGCTCGCTGTGGGCCTGGGGCCAGGACGGGGGTGGGGGGGTGGCTTTATAGACGTGGGGAGAGCACAGGGTCCTCTCATCCCTGATAGTCCCCCTCCCAGGCGCCCAGCCTTTAGGGGGACATGGAGGCCTCAGCAGGTCAGGTCAGCCTCCTGATGAGGCCTGCCGGGAAATGTCACCTCTCCTCCCAGCAGACGGCTCACTGGTGGATTTACAACTGTGCGCTGAGCACCTACTGTGTGCACAGCACGTGTGTGTGAGGAGCAAAGACACACACAGCCCCGATTTGGACTCCAGGAGGTCGTATGTGGACGGGGGCAGATGTGGCTTAGGAGGAAAGAAAGGTGCAGGAGAGAGGGAGGCATGGAAGGGGGAGAAGGCGGGAGGGAGAGGAAAGGAGCTGTTTTGTAGGAGACGGAAGGTTTTTCATGAAATTCAGAATGGGGCTCAGGAGAGAAACAGGTTCGCAGGTGGTTCTCAAAGCAACATATAGACCTGCTCCGAAGACTCACTGGGCCTCGGACACTAGGGTGGCACTGTCGAGGCCGCCTCCAACAGGGCTCTCCCCGCCTTATGCACCTTCAGACACCGGCCCCCAGCTGGGAGTCATGAATAAGCGTGACTCCGGGGTGCCTTCTGGGGACCCGGGTCACCCTGCTGGAGAGAGGACCTTCTCAGTGCTCACATGGTCCCAGGCGCTCTCCATCGGCGGCGTGGTCACAGGTGAACCAAACCAGCACATTCCCTGGCTGCCTCCTCCGGGGAGGGTCTGTGATGAGCAGCGTGCTCGCAAAGCAGCTTTCTCTGGAAGAAACCTAGGTGGGCAGGTGGGAGCAGCTGTGCAGCCCCCTGGCCTGAGAGGCCCTAAGCCTTGCCCCTGTCCCGAGGGTCACCGCCAGAAACACGGAGAGGGACGGAGCCACCTCGGGTCCCATGAAGCACAACCCTCAAAGGGAAAAGACAGAAATGCCACCTATTGTTTTTCTGATGTTTCTTTTCAATTTGTCAAATACAAACCCTTTGGCGATTGAAGGATGGGTTATTTCCTTCCTCTTTCTAATGCAAGAACGAATCACTCTGGAAAGCAGTGGAAGGAGAGAAAGCCATTCGCCCGCCCCAGGAGCCCCTTCCAGCTGGCAGCCCCTTCGGTGAACCCCAAGGACCCCACCTCCTGTCCTCAAGGCCCTGTGTAATTCCTGCCCCTGTAGTGTGGGCTGGATGGAGAACAGAAGTGAGGGGACACCACCTCCGGGTGTCCTACAAGGGGATGCTGCTTTGTGTTGTGACTCTGTCCCCTGTCTCGCTCCATCTCTCGTTCTCACTCTGCATTGTGGACACCCATGGAGAAGCCACAAGCGGGCAACCCAAGTCCTCAGCGCACAGCCGGGGAGAAGCTGGGGCTGCTGGGAGCCCATCCTCCCCTTAGATGCTGGCAGTCCCGCCGACACCTCCGTTTCAGCCCTAATCACAGGACCCAGCCATGCGCCGCCTGGACTCCTGACCCCGGGAAACGGTGATGTAATAAACGCGTGCTATTTTCAAACGGCTCCGTTTGGGGGTGATTTGTTACGCAGCACAAATAACGAATACAAAGCTCTAGCTGCAAACGTTTAGATCTGTTTCTACACGTCCAGAGTAAGTGGACCTCCCGATGTGTCCGTGGAGGTGAGCAGAGGGAGGAAAACTCGCCCTGGCAGCATGCCTGTTTGTCCCGCAGAGCCACCCTTCCGTCACAGGACCCGCCTTGCCAGCCAGCCCAAGTGTCCCATAATGAACGGCATTGAACTTGTAGAAACGTGAGATGCAGGCAGCATTACATCCGTACTCTTTAATCAGAGCATTCAAACCATGGAGCCCTGCAAGCAAACCTTCACTTTTAAAGATTTTAGCAAATTGAGGTCATTGTGTGTGTGTGTGTTGGGGGGGGTGCGGGGAGCAGAAGGCAGGAAGACACTGAGGCTGATTTTTACAGAAACATGGCGGGCACAGAGCAGAGCGACAGTGAGATTTCATTTCAGAATCATAGCATTGTGCTCTGAACGCCTATATCTAATTAGGAAAGTTTCTATTTTGTGTCAGAATGGAGGACCATGGGAAAAGCCTATAATTTTGCAGGACCCAGATTTGGTTAAAATAGGAAAAGAAACCTTAAGTAGAGATCATTTATTTGATAGGTTTCATGTTGCAAAAATATTTGTCCAAGAAAGGCCTTCGGAACGGAGGCAAAAGGGACACTGCCTGTGAAAATACCTAGGCTAAATATATTATTATTAATTTCAATAATTTAAAATATCATAAAAATATCCTTGATGTAGCAGCACTGGTTCGAAGCTTCTATTGGGCTGTCGGGAAAGTCATGACATATTTTTCTACGTTTTTCAATGCAAAAATGCGTCATGACTTTCCCGACGACCCAATATTAGATTATATTTTAAAATGTATTCTTTAGAAAAATAACTGTGGTGTAGTATTAGAGACATATATGACTGAGAGATTAATGAAAGGATATGACTATGTACTGGATAAATGGATGATAGATTGATAGATGATAGATAGATTGATAGATGATAGGTGATAGATTGATAAATAGATGATAGATTGATAGATAGATGATAGGTTGATAGATGGATGATAGATTGATAGATGATAGATAGATAATAGATAGATTGATAGATGATAGATGATCGACAGATGATAAGTATAGAGATAAAGATAGATACAGAGAGAGAAACATGACTGGTTCTGTTTTTCTGGAAAACCCTGACTAATACATACTAATCCATGCACCAAAAATAATTAGCCTGCTTATATTATTTTTACATTAACATGAAACATTTTATACAAAATGTAATAATGAAGTTTTAATATAAAGACTATAACATTTTTCTGTAATGTACACAAACATGTGATGGGTATGTTTTAGAAAACACTGTCTTTTTGAAAGTCAGTTTTGAATAGCTGGTACAGGTCTATCAGTAGAAGAAAACCAATTTGTCAGTCCACACAAATCCTCTTCAAAGCCTGGAGTGCTCCCAAGCTGACCCTCTCCCTGGCGTCTTGCTCTGGACGGTCCCCGCCAGTCGCCCTCCCTGGGGAGAGGGATGAAGTGTCCTCCTCAGACACAGGAGGAGCGGGTCCTGGGCTCTTCCCGCCCCAAGCTTTCCGGGGCTGCTGCCCCCATCTGCGAAGCGCTGGTTCTCTCTCCCCGTCAAACACCCTCAGAGTGACATGCTATTGTCCTTTAGGCCCAAATGTGGGGTGTGTCGTTCCCCCCCCCGCCCCGAGCATCCCAGGATAATTTCGGGGCACGGGGCATGAAAGTCACCACACAGCAAGTAGACAGGATGGCAAACCTTCCTGCCCAGTCCCCCCTGTGCCTCAGGTCCCCAAGTCTGTGCTTCACCCCGAGAAGCTCTCCTGGGCGCCCTGAGCAGTGATTCTCACAAGACCTCGTCAGAGCATCTCAGTCCCCTGTTCCAGGTCGCCCAGGGGTCCCCGGCTCACGCAGAGGCACAGTCCAGCCAGGTCTGAATCCCTAACCCCCTCTGGTCTGTGCGGGGCTCCTTCTGGCCTGAGAGGGACCACAGTGACAGCGGTGACCGTACCACCCCCGGGGCATAGATGACATGGTAGTGAGAACCGGGGTGCCCTCAGCTGCTCCGTCCTCACCCTGGCTGTGAATTGGGGAAGTGGAAGCCCATCTGGAGAGACGTGACCGATGCCAGGACGGCTCCCACTCGGGCTCATGGCTTCTTGTAAGGCCCCGGTCTGCTGCTGGCAGGCCCCTGTGCGTGGCACTCCGAGGGGGGACACAGGCGCACAGACTCGGCTGTTCGCTCAAAGCCGGGCACGACTCCCGAGACAGGCCCTGCGTGGGGCCCTCGCTGGGTCACAGGAGCAAATCCGCACTCACGGAAACCCCTGTCACGCTGTGAAACGCCACACTTGTGCTTCACCTCAGTGGCCGTGCGAGAACGTGAAACGAACTGGAGACAAAGGGACCTGACGCGCGTAGGCAGCTCTCAACCCTTCCGTTGCCTTTGAACCCAGGAGGCAGCAGAAAAATGGCCTCGTGAACTTGGAAGTGTATAATCCAGACTCCTTGGCTGAAGTCACTGTGCTGTACCTTCTCTCTCCGGGGCTTGTTTCTCTCCTGGTTCCCGGTTTGTACCCTTAAACCACGTTTTTCCTCAATCAGAGGCATTCCAAGCATCTGAGCCCTTTTTGGAAACAGCCTGCAGTTCTACGTCTCGGCCAATAGATGGCAGGGCAGGCGAGAGCGGTGGGTCCGGCCGAGAAGTGCTTGGCCATCTTCCCAGCATCTCACTGCCCCACCATGGGGGTCATGCCTGCACCCCCATCTTCTGTTGTCTTTGCCATAACCCTTCCACTCTGTGAAATGTTATCGTTTGCTTCCATGCTGACTGGCTGGCTCCCTCCGTGCACCGTGAGCTCCTTCCTGGGCAGCTGGTCTGCTCATGGCCGCATCCCCCACGTCTAAGCCAGCGTGCACGCAGCCGGTGGCCGAGGGGTGTGTGCTGGGTGAATGAAGGATACGCACGGGGCGTGGACGTGATCTCTGATCTACGCTAGTGAGTCTCCTTCCCTGACTTTTCTGTCTCGGTCGCATCCCGACGCCCGGTGAGCGACGGTTTGCACTGATCAGGGTGTCTGGACGTTGCACACTGCTGCCTCTGCGCTTTGGTTTATGGCGTTGAAACACCTGAGCCCTGACGAGCAGTAAGCAAGAGGTTCCTGGGGCTTCAGCAGAGTGGCTCGGGCTAAAGGTTTTTTTGATTTTTTTTTAAAGATTTTATTGGGGAATTGGGGAGGGGAACAGACAAGTTGCTGTCGTTTTGTTCTTCAGTCTAGTTGTGGAGGACGTTGCTTCAATGGCCCATGTTGGTATTATCATTGCACTCTTCCCGGGTGAGGCAGATCGGTCGCCGGCCACTGGATGGCCACTCGTGGTAGCTCATGCAGCCCACTGCAGCCTACACTGTCGCTGGCGACTCACGGCAGCCCAGCTCCAGATTGAGCTGTTGTTCAGCATCTTAGCTGTAGAGGGCAGTGTCACTGGCCCCCATGTGTGCTGCTCAGAGCCGGTGTCCCAAGCCAGCTCTTAACCAACACGCCACTCGGCCGGCCCTTGGGCTTAAAGTTTTAAGCGGCAAGTGTAACTTCCCTGGAGGCCCCTCTGACACTCCTGGTGTGTCCACACCCCTTCAGCCCTGGGAATGACAAAGAAGTGACAAAGGAGGCGCATAGATGTGATGCTGTCTGTCGCACTGAGGGTGCTTTAGATAAATCCGCCGTTTGCAATGGGTCAGTGTACTCAGCTGGGCTTGTGCGTGTCACCTGCTGGAAATGAACAATAGTGGGGATGCGGGGGCAGGGCGAGGCTGAGTCTCCTGAGAGCAGGGACAAAATCCTGCCGTTACCTAACATTACAGTCTTTTGTTCATCATGGGTTTTTCACATCCATTCTGACTTGGACATAGTGCATTAATGTATTATTTGATGACTGAGGTTTGGGCCGCTTCTTACATTCTGTGCCAATCTCAGCCCCGTGGAAGGACAGCCCCACCCTGCCGTCAGCGGAGGGGCTGGGACAGAGGCCCCGATTTTCCCAAATGCAAAAGGTTGAGGACAGAGCGTCAAGCTACCTGTTAGGGAACATTTAGTTCTGTATCTTCAAAATACAAAGCACGTGAGTGTGGCTGAGAAATCTTACTACGTTCAAATCCACGCCCTGTGTTCGTTTCCTGCTGCTGCTGTAACGAATTACCAAAAACTTGCAGGCCTAAAACAACACACACTTATTATAATCCTGGAGGTCAGACGTGTGAACGGGGGCTCACGGGGTGCCATGTACTGTGTGCCGCCTCCCCCAAATTCCCATGGCGAAGCCCCAATCCCCAGAATGATGGTATTTGGAGATGAGGTTTCTGGAAGGTAGTTAGGTTTAGTTGAGCTCATGAGGGAGGGGTCCCCATGATGGCATTTAATGCTTTTATAAGGAGAGGCACCAGGGAGCTGGCTTCCCCACCTCACCCACCCTCTGTCCCCACCCGTGTGAAGACATAGCTGGGAGGCGGCCATCTGCAAGCCGGGAACCCGCCCGTGTTGGCTCCAGGTCTGGGCTTCCAGCCTCCAGAGCTGTGAGAAATCTGCTGGTTGTTTGAGCCCATCTGTGGGGCTGTCCCAGCAGCCTGGGCCGACAGAGGAGTCAGCGGGCAGCGTTCCCCCTGGAGGCCCTGGGGAGAATCCTCTCTGGGCCTTTTTCGGGTTTTAGAGGCACCCAGCTCCTCCGCTCGCGGCCCCTGCTTCCATCTCCAAAGCCTGCGACCTCTGTGACCTCTCCTGTCCTCACCATGTCTGAACCCTGGCCGTCCTGCCTCCCTCTCTCGTTTACAAGGACTCCGATGTCAAGGCTCACCCAGGTGACCCAGGGTCACCTCCCCATCTGATCCTTAACTTCGTGGCATCTGCAAAGTCCCCTTTAAGGTCACCCACTCTCCAGGGATTGGGACGTGGAGGTCTTGGGGGCGTGGAGGGATTGGCTTTTTCAGGTGATTTGAATTTCCACCTGGGAAGAGTACAGAGTAGAAAATAAAACATGGTCTGGTGCCCACTTGTGAGAAATTTAAGTAGCTTTGTGAAGAGCCCGCCTTCCCCGAGGGACCACGTGCCACCATGTCTAACTACAGGGCCCCAACCTCGACTGCCCTGTCCCAGCCGCTGGCCAGCTGCCCTGTATACACATGTACTTGTTCATTTTCAATGCGGGGGCCCCCGTGGGTGACAAGCTCTTCCAGACTGGTCACTGATACCATCATTAGGCAAGGGGGTTGTGTGCAAGGAGGGTGATGGGGTGAGCCCACCGACCCACGGAGGCGGGCCCCGGTTGGAGATTGGAGACGCGAGTCACCCCCATGGTGTAGAGAAGGGTGACCCATGGTGCGGAGGTGGGGTGACATGCGGTGTGGTTATGTCACCACAGCTCCCAGCCACACCAGCATCAGGCCCGCAGAGCATGGTGGGGTCCCGCCAGCTCCTGCCAGCTCACACTACAGCCCGTGGGAACCGGCGCTCCGCGGAGGGGCGCCTGTCCTCAGCCTGTCTGAACCCCACCGGTCAAGATTTCCTCGTGTTTTTCTGTAGTTTTCCTATACTTCGTTATGACCAAAAAATAAGAATAAAAGAAAGGGGTTTTTGTGTTTGTGTGTTTTCTCTGAATAGAAGTATATTTGAATCCAGAGCAGGCTTTAGAGTCACCACCTCGGGAAACCTGAGTCGCGTGAGGACCAGGTACTTCACCGTGATTTTCTGTCAATTCCTGACTTGGGGAATTTTATGCCTTCAATGTGACAGCTCGTGGGTCCTCGTGACGTTATGTAAATGCCAAAGAAACGATGGCTGTGGAAAACCCACGCAAAGAACCAGTTAATGGGTCTCAAATCTGAGGTGCTTTTAGTAATAACGGTATACCAAAAATACAGCAACAAATAAAGAATAGTTTATTTAACAAAATCAGAACCCCACGTACGTGTAAAATAACAATACAAAAGTTGGTGACTAGCCAAACAGTTCAAGTTCACATTTAACACTTCCCATTGTTTTTCATTCATTAGTTCTGCCCAGAAGAACCTTCTTTGTAGCCCCTCCCGCGAAGAGGACCCCGGTGACATTTGACAGGACTGACTCGGCGAGCTGGAACAGTCTTTAAGTAGCTTTGCAGCTTAGATAGCAGACATGCTCTTAAATAGTTCTCAACGCAGGTTCTTACGAAGGAAGAAAAGCAATGTCACAGTTTAAAACATTAGTTTCCTTCAAAGCAGGTACCAAAGAATGTGGCGATGGCAAGATGTGTGGCTCAGAAAGAAACACGCCCACGTCCTGCACACAAGCCTCCGCAGTGTCTGACCACACTTCTCTCTTAACAGTCCTCCCGTCCTTCAATATGAGATGCTTATGAATCAAAAAGGAAAACAGCTCGCACGGTGCGTGGGAAGGAAGCGAGTGCACCGCGGGAAATGCTAAGACGCCAGGCGAGGCGCGTGCAGCCTCCCGGGACCGTGCGGGCTCCGTGTGTGGGTGTCGCCGAGGGGGAAGCCAGCGGCCGGATGGACACCGCGGCCTTCACTTCTAGGCAGCAGCCACGCACCTCTGTGGCCCTCTCCAGGAGGCCCCGCGTCACCGGAGACAAGCCAGTAAGGCACTTACCTAGTTCATCCGGGGAAGAAAGGAGACAGCAGCGCACGAGTCACGCAAGCTTTAGGGAAGGCAGACACGCACGGCGGCCTAAGACCCTGCCTCCCCGTCACCTGTGGGACCCCGCGTGGACCTCAGAGACGCGAGGCCCTCCTGCTGGCGGGCACCCTGCTCGCTCGGGATCGCTGCCGGTCGTATCTCACAGAAACAATGAGGAAAAGCAGGAGGGTGGCTCCTTGAATGGCGGCCAGAAGGAAGAAGTAATAGTTCAAATGGCAGCCATTAATGTTACCTGGAAAACGAAACAAAGAAGCCCGTGAGGCATTTTAAAAGATTTTACCTATTTAACTTGGTTCCTACTAAGTCAGGGTGACTTTTAACTGTGGTCAGGAAAAAAAGAAAACCACCGTGTATCTGTAATTCAAAAACACACAAGCATTTCGCTTTCCCAGCCTTTGCAGAACGCCACCGGAAGTCAGCCGTGTCTCTAACGGGGGCTGCGGGCTGGGGTCTGCGCCGGGACCCCGCCCGCTCCTCAGGGCCCTCGTCCCTCCTGGAGGGGAAGGGGGCGTTCCCAGAGCCCCTGACAGGAACGCAGGGACGCGACCCATGTCTTTCCTCATCCTCAGGGAAATCCAGACAGGGCTGAAGGGAACGAGGTGACCATCGGTGCAACGTGTGACACTGCACGGCAAGCTGGGAAAAACTGGCCGCGCGAAAAAATGTCCCCCAAGCCTCCTTTTCCTTGTTACTTTTCTCTGTCCAGGACATTTGGGGAGAGTGAAACAGTCGCCTTCGTGTGCTCTGCCCGCAGAAGCCAACATCGGGCAGGGCGCGGTAGCATGTCCCGGTCTGATTCACGCTGCGTTTCCTCCCCAACTGCCATTAGGCCGAGGGCAGAGCGGGGGGCCGTGAAGCCGCAGCTGGCGTCCCCACTTCAAGTCCTGAGGTGCTGTGGGGTCTGCCTCTCTGGACAGCACACCGAGCAGCAGGACGCAGTGAGAGCACCTGAAGGCGAGGCCTCCGTGCCCACAGGGAAGCTGCCCTGACCGGGACGTGACCTGGACACAGCACACTTGCCTCTTGTGGGCATGTGTCCAGCGCCCCATGTGCCACCCACTGGCTTCAGCTGAGAAACCCCATGGGATCGGGCCGAGTGACGTTTGTTTACTGAGAAACGGCGCTGAGGGCGCGTATCTGTTGTTTTAACAGAAAACTAAAAGGTACTGTGGGGAAGAAACCGCCCCACGGACGGACATCCGTAAAGGAAACCGCGACATGGACATTAAGGTGGACGAGGCGTGTTCCGACGGAGGACATTCCCAGGCTGGCCAGGCGCGGGGACAGCAGGACGCGCCCGGATGGGAGGGACAGGGACAGCCCAGCACTCCCACCCCACCATCCCTTCGCGCAGCCCGAGCGCCCGGGGTCCCGGCAGCGGTCACTTGCTGAGCCGGGACGCCGGCCTCACCGAAGTCCGTGTGGTTGCTCATCCACCCGATGGCCCTGAGGGACACCAGCGCCAGCAGCCCCGAGCCCACGAAGGACCCGACGCCAGAGAAGAAGAAGAACAGGCCCATGATGGCGCTCTGCATGGACTTGGGCGCAGCCGAGTAGGCAAACTCCAGACCTGTGGGAACAACGTGGTGTGGTGAGGGCAGGGACGCCAGCTGCCGCCCTAACTGCCCCGACGTGGCAGGAAAGCACAGCTCACTGTGGGGACTTAAGAGCCTGAAGCAGGTGTGACTCCCTCCCCTGCTTGGAGGACAGTATTTACGGGAATTCAAGAATAAGTGGCTGTTTGTCCTGTCACCACAATAGGTCCTACAAGATGCGAGGACGCACACAGCTCCTTGCGCTCCAGCTTCAAGGTAACATGTGATTTGTCAGCTCATAGACTTTTTCGGTCTTTATGGAAAGAAAGGTCGAGAAGCAACATTTTCCTATCGTCTCAACTAATGGGAGTATGAAAACACAGTAGATACACTAAAATGGGGAACCTACTTAAGAATTCTATTTTAAAGGCAATATATTTTAAAACAATTCCAGCAGGCACAGCTATAAATTCAGATTTTTATAATAACCAGACGCGCAGATCTGCCATGGACTCTAAGGGAAGGCCCATTCCGTGTGATTTATCCCCTCACAGATCCATCAGCCCACTCGGCGTGTGTGGGGGTGGAAGCCGCCGCCTTCCCGTGCCCCCGGCCAGCTCCCGCTTGTCACTGGCTTTCTCCCCCCGCCAGCAGCTGGAAGCGGTCTGCACAGAACCCACCTGCCCCGACCAGCAGGCTCCGTGGGGAAAGGAGAGCTTCTCAAAACCAGGCGCATCTCCTTGCGAGTCTGAACTGAAAGGCCGAGCTGGGACTGTCATTTGTGCCCTGAGGCTGGGCAGCCAGGCCTGGCCGAAACCTCGCCGCAGGGAGGCCCTTTCTCCCTCTCCGGTGGCCCCGCTAAGGTGGCAGGGGACTTTCATGGAAATGTTTTTGGGAAGCTGATTTTACCACAAAAGGAGAACCCCAGCCACTTTTTCTTACCAGTTCATACTCTGAACCATACCTGCCCACCAAAACCACAAAAAGGCCGTCTTTGTCTCAGCATATTCAACACAGCAAGACAGCGGCACGGCTTTGTCGCGTTCTGACCCGACGTCCCCAACAACACCGCCTTGGAAGCTTACCTGCGATGCTTGCAAATATCTCACTGATGCCGATGAGCACGTACTGAGGGACCTGCCACCAGATGGGCAGGTCGGCGGCGAAATACACGACGTTCCCGATGGTCTGGTTGATGGTTCTCTGTTTAACAAGGTCCAGCCTTTTGCTTTCCAAAATCCCTAGAATTCATAGGTCGGTCAGTAGAGCGTTTGTTGGTTAACATTTGACATTAAATTAAACAACCAGATGTCTGCTACCAGGTGTTCACTGTGAAACCCGTGTGGGCCGACGCACACAGCTCCCTGAACCCCAGCGGAAGGGCTTCCCCCGCCTCCAGCTTCCTTGGCAGGTCGCTGCGACACTGGGTCACGTCCAACGTGGTTCATGCGGTGTTTATAAGACAGATGCACAGTGCGTTTACTCTAATCCTCATATAGCGACTGCTCACCTGTGCGTCTTTTGTTTTGTCTTAAAGGGGAGCGGGGGAAGCGAGGGCCCTGCGATAAGAACAGTGCTGTTTGCTTTTCTGTAGGTTATACATTTCGAGACTGTCCCATGGCGGTCAGGGCTATAAGCTGATCCACTGCTGATCACCATGGTAACTGTGACTAATGAGGTCCTTCAGCAGCCAAGGAAAGGGTCTGCTCTCAGCGGCACGGCCACCACCAGGGACGGCTCGTCCCGCAAGCCATGGTCAGCATGGAAAAATCAGCCACAGCAGAAACGGCCACTCTTCCCAGACGCAAAGGCGAACCGTCACAATAAAGTTTAGAAGCGACAGTGTGGAGGCCCAAGGTCTGAGGTTGACAATGTTGACAAGTTTGGTTTTCAAAGAGCTCTAGTTGCAAATGAAATCCAGACCCCAGGACTTAACGTGCATATAAAAATATACATTTCAGAACTGCATGAGAGAGGCGAGGAGCCTGGGGCCCGGTGATGGGGTACGCGTGAAAAATACTCCTTTGAACCCTGGGTATGAGAAAGGCTGGGACATGGCTGGCGGCGTGACAACGAGAAGCTGTGGGGCCTGCACCCTGAGCCACATCTCAAGTGACATGTCCAAGCAAAGAGGAACTCAAGGAACCAAGGTGAGGAGGCCGGCAGCTCGCTCCCACGGAAACCCATACCTCATCCCTGGAGGC